CATGGGAGATATAAGGCCCTTACTCTGTGCGAGGTTGTTGTGAGATTTAAACTAGATAAAACTGGCAGCAATGGCGCGACACAGGTGCGGTAACTGGTTGTAGCTGTCGTTGGTGACGATGACAGTAATAGTAATAACTGGGCTTCCTAGTTCCCTTTCAGTCTGTTCTCAACACAGCAGCAAGCGTGATTCTGTTAAGACATAAGGCACATCACAGTCTTCCTCTGCTCATAAGCCTCCAGGGACTCCCATTTCGCTCATGGGAAAAGCCACAGCCCTTGTGACAGTCTTCGTGACTGGACCTTCTCCCCACCTCTCTCCCGAGGTCCGATGCTGCTCCCCTTCTATCACTCTGCTTTAGCCACACCTGCTTCTTTGCCGTGGAACTTGCTAGGTTGCTCCTGCCCCAGGGCCTTTGCACTTGCACTCCCCTTGGCCTGGAATGCTCGTCCTCAGGTATCCACGGGCTCACTCCCTAGCCTCCTTCAGGTCTTTACTCTGACTTCACATCCTTGGTGAGGTCTTTTGGCCATGGCCATCTAAAATTGCAAACTGCCTCATGCCCCGGGCCAGCACTCCCCAGCTCCCTTTCCTCCTGTACAGCCCTTCTCAGCAGCGGTGGCCTTCTAACCTATTATGCATTTGTATGGTGTTGTTGTCACTCCCATTAGAATATAAACCTCATGAGAGCAGGGATTTTGTCTGTTTTGTGCCCCACAGTGTCCTCAGCGTCTAGCTGAGAATTGCTGCTCAGCAATACCCATTGTTACTTTCATGTTCTCTCTGGAGGATGGGTTGGCCCAGCCTTCCCTGCTGGGGGCTCCAAGCTTGCTGCCTTCTTTGGAAAGGCTCCTGTCTGTCCTCACCAGGAGCTCAGGAGCTGCAGGCTCCCAGCTGACACCTCTGCCTCCCTGCAGACATCCCAGCTTATCTCAAAACCAAAACGCAGCCCCTCTGCTCTGGGATCCCCTCTGGCTGCTAGGGAGCTCAGTGAGCACTGGGGGCAGGTGGCTGGCAGCCCATGTGCCATCTCATTCTGAAGGAATTTCCCCAGTTCCCAAAGCATGTGGGCCTGGAGCCCTGAAGCCCAGTGGCCGGATTTAGATCCTGGGAGCAGGGCCCCAGCTGCAGGCTTCCCCGTCCAGCTGGAACCACTCTGCGGCCTTCCCTCCAAGGCCTCTCTGGCCTTATGCATCCCTGCCCCAGGGAGCTGCTCTTTCTAGATCACTGGGCTGCACCTGAGCATGGGAGTAAGGTACTGCAGTCTCTTGGTCATACTGCTGGGCCAGGCTCCTTTCATTAGAAGCACCTCCTGGAGCCACCCTTGGGTGTCTGCAGACCCCTACCCTCCAATCGCACGCTGCTGTGGGCTGTGACGTCTGCTCTGGGGCCTCCCTAGCAAATCTTGTGTGCCCACATCCCACTTGCTCATTGCCTGGCCTGTTGGAGCGGCTGGCAGTCCCGTGCATTCCCCCTTTAGTGTCCCTTCTGGGACCTTCAGGAGATGCAGTGCTTTATTCTGAGGGGTGGCTAGTGGAATTGCAGGCTGGCAGAGGTGAGATTTTGGAATGGGCTGGCCTTTGGTCTCTGAACTCCCACTGGGGGAGTGGCGGCTCCCTGGAAAGAGGATAGTGTCGGGTGTCAGACAGACTGGGCTCGGAACCCTGACTTTACTACTTAGCTGTGTCACCCTGGGCAGGTTGCTTGCCCACCTGTGAAATGGGTGGAGCAAAGGTACCACCCCCTTCTGGCGCGGCTGTGAGGATTGAGTGAGATGGTGTACATGAGACCCTTAGGTTACAGCCCGGCCTCGAGTAAGGACTCGCCAATGGCAGTGGCACTGCTGCGCTGGGATGCAGGTCAGGGCTTCTGCCCACTGTGCGCTGAGCCATCGGCGGTGGCCGGCTACCCCAGGCCTGTCTGCAGCAGTTCAGGAGCTGGTCCCCTGGAACCTGCCCTGGGCACGAGGCAAGGGCCCCTCTCCCTGGGGCCCAGCTTCTACCTGGCTGTGGCTCTCTGTGGGAGCCTGCTCCCCACAATGTGCTCCTTCTGTCTGACCAGGCGGGGCCCTGAGGAAGTGGCCACCCTGGAGCCTGTGGGGGATCTCTGCCCATTGTCCCCACTCAGGGACCCAGCTGGGATTCAAATCTGGGTTTTCTGACTCCCCATCCATTGCTTGGTCCACTGCACCCCACCAGCCAGGACAGCCAGCATGCTGGTGAGCCCACGGGGAGCCCCACTCTCACTTCCTTCCTCTGTGTCTTGACCCGCACCCCCATACCAGATCAAATTAGAAGGTTACAAGGAGCCATTGACGCCATGGGGGGTGGCGAGGATTGGATGGTCTCCGATTGCAAAGGGGCCAATTACAGGAACTTGTCTGCTGCCTTCTGCCACGCCGGGTCCATGCACTGTGTGTAGCCTGGGCTGCCCTCCCCTCGCTCTGCTGTCACACGGGCTTCGCACATCTCAAATGCCACGTCTCCCGTGAAGCTTTCTCCCATGCTCCCCGCCCTTCCCACGAGAAAGGAAGGACTGTGAACTATTCTTTTGTGTCCCATATTACACGTTTTAAATGCTGCTTTTACGACACTGGCTTCTCCGTATTAATTGTTGGCTGTACGCCACCCTACTGTCATTCTAAGAAGTTTGGGAGCCAAGTCAGTTTCAGAGGCCACAGACAGGGAACCAGGGATCGCCTGTGTCCCAACCAGAGCACTCGGGTCGAGCCTCTGTGCTGCTGAGCCTTTGCTGGCCTGGCTTCATCCCACGCTGTCATCCCACTCGCCTCGCTCTCACCTTCCTTGCCCCAGCCTACTGCGGACGGACCGTCCAGCTCTGAAATCTTAACAGGTACTTTAGACTGGGGACTGGGCCCTCCTGCAGCCTGTTCTTGTGCAGATGCTCACAAACAAACCCTCATCTCTGTCCCAGGACCCAGAGACAACAAAGGCACGGGTCCTGAGGCCAGAGGGCCTGGTACCCACTGTGCCAGCAAAAGCCTGGAGTTTGGTTGTTTCTCCTGCCTCGAAAGTAAAGGATAAGACGTGGCACCTGCCTGCCTGGGCCCTCCTGCCAGGTTCCAGCTCTCAGAAACCTCACGCTGCTGTGGGCTGTGGCGCCTGCTTTGGAGCCTGCCGCCACCTTTGTGTGGCACTTCCTGAGTAGCTCCTGCGGGAAGTTGCGCCTCAGAGCCAGTCAAAGGATACTGTATCCGAGGATACAGTCGGATGCCAGGAATGCATCCGACTGTATCCTCCTCCCAGCATGGACCAGAGATCCCAGCAAAATCTGAGAGTCTCCGCGCAGGGCTTGTGGTTGGCACTTAGTGCGTTATTTCTATTTACCTGGCCCTGTGACAAGAGGTTATCACAGTTAAGCACCCCGATAACCTTTAGCACAGGTGGTGGTGTCACTATTTCAAAGGTGCAGAAACGGAGGTCCTGGGCTGTTGTGCCACATGCCCAAGGTCACACAGCTGGAACGCCGCGGGCTGGGACTGAATCCAGCTCTCTGACCACAGAGCCTGTGCACATGGCCGTCACACCACCCTGCCACCAGATCACCTCTGCCCCCTAAGCCCGACCCCAGCCTTCTAGGATGAGGCCATTGTACTTGAAGACTCTCCAGGTTTGGCTTAAGATGGGCTTAAAAACCATCAGGGTGGCACCTCACTCCTTCCGTTAGAAACCTGCTGCCCAACCTCAGAGCTTTTGCTGGGAGGAAATGGTTCCTGCCACTAAGCCTAAAATTCCCAGGGATTCACCTTACTCCATTTCACATAATTATACCCTCTCATGTCACCCCCAGTCTTCCCCTCCCTCGAAGGCCCCTTAGAGCCTTGCACACAATTATCTTATTCTGCTTCACTTGGCAAAGCCCAGAGTGTGGGTCCTTTCCTGTGCTGTAATTTTTCCATTTCCCCCGTTCCTACATTGTTTCAGATATTTCATCTCTGAACATCCTCCAATTTCAGGGTATATTTCTGGAGTGGTGGTTGCCAAGAACTCAGCGCTGCAATCAGGAAGAGCTCATTAGGAGCAGATGGAGGGAGGGAGCGTCCCTGCTGGGCACAGGTGTGCCTGGGCTGCCAGCGCTAGGCCGTCTGGGAGGTCTTACCTCCGCCCGTCCTGAGCGTCCAGGGCTACAGGCAGAGGGGGCTTACCATGTGCCCTCCCCGGCACAGAGGGGTTGGCTAGAGCCGTCTTTGAGCAGGGACCTGGGTCTGAACCTGTCTGCATGTCCCTCGTCTCAGCCTCCTTTCCCTACTGTGGTTCTGCTTTTTATTCACTCAACAAACATTTATCAAGCACCTGCCATGTGCCAGACTAGATCTGGCAGCGGTTGAAGCTCAAGGAGGGCAAGGGCCAGTATCCAAGGAAGGAGAGAGACGGAGGGGCCCAACTGGTGGCCACGAGGGACCTCTGTGCAGGTGACACTGCAGCTGAGACCTGAAGGTGGGAAGGACCCAGCTAGGGAAAGAAGTGGACAGGTGGGTTTGGGAGAGGGGGCAGGATGTGCCAAGCCCTGGGCAGGAAAGGCTTGGCTGAGTGGAAGGGTAGATGGAAGGTCCGTGTGCGTGGGCGGAGGCTGGAGGGGAGGTGGCTTGGACTGGGAGGAGCTTACATGTGGTCGCAAGTGCCTGGCTTCCCACGGACTCACCGTGTGACACGAGCAAGTGACTGAACTTAGGTCAGCCTCTGGCTTTCCTTTGGTGAAAGACAGTAATCCCCCCTTCCTAAGCGTGTCGCATGTGCTGGGCCCAGGACAGTCAGGAGCCCTGGATATTGTGGCCTCGGTGAGGCAGGGGCAACACTTTTTAGGGGCGACACTTTTTAGCCCAGGAAGCTATAGGTCAAGGGGGACATCAGGGGTCCAGAAGGTGGGATAGATGGCACGGAGGCAGGGCATGGGAAACAGCCAGTAGAACTCTGGAAACCATGGAAACGTTCCAATCGATGGAACCTGCCCTGTGACCTGGCCAATGGTCAGATTCCAAAAGCTCTGTAGCGTTGACCAGGACGGGCATGGTCAGATAGAAGCCACAGAGAGGGGCATGGAAAGCCCTGTGTTTGGGGTGGTGTGTTTCAGGAAAGGCTTCCTGGCCCCGATGGACTTCAAGATGCACCTGCAAGGTAGGACTCACAGTGCTGGGGTGGGTGACGATAGCATGGCGTTCTCTCCTTCCTGCCAGTGTCCAGAACAGTGCCTGGAACACAGTAGATGCTCAATCTCAGCCCGTCGCTAAGAGTTTCTGGCTCGGGGGCCTCTGGTGGCCCCGTTACCCTTAGAGGAAGCACCTCTGTCTCCCTTTCCACACCAGGAGCTGTCCTGGAGAGGGCAGGGCTGGCAAAGGCCACTTCCTTGACCGTCACTTCCTTCTCAGCCCCTTCCAGGCTAAGCAAATAGCTACCTTCTTTCCAAGGTGATTGGAGCATCTTGTCCAGACATGCGAAGCCAACGCGTGGGTCTGAACCGAGGTCTTTATCTATTTAGCACCACCCCCATTGTCCAGGATAATTTTGTATTATCTACAAAATGAAATTTTCATTTATACTCTTTTCCATTGAACAAATCAGGTGTAAAATAATTGATTTTAACAGTATCTTAAAGAAGCTCCCTTTCCAGAGAATTCAGCTTTAATTGATTCAACAAATATTTATTGAGCCAGACATTATCCTGGGCATTTGGGTTGCATCTGAGAACATAATAAAGATCCCTACCCAAGATTACAATTTAGCAGGCAGGACAAACAGAAGACATAATAAGGGAATTACATAGTTTTCTAGAAAAGGTGATGAATGCTATAGAAAAAGAATAAGAATGGATACTAAATAGAGAGCTCTCTTCTGCACAAGCTGACCCACCTGAGTGGGAAAGAGGAGGGGAAGGACAGGAGGGAAGGAAGAGATAGGACACAGTTTCTGTGCCATGGTACCTAAGACAGATTTCCCAAACAAGACTGTAAGGTCCTTTGTGATTGCAACATGCCTGTCCTGATCTGAGGCATAATACTGGGGGACTAAATGGAGATGTTCTCTTTCCCATCAGTCAACCCACCTGCCTGTACAAATATTAAGTGAGCATCTACTATGTTCCTGGTACTATTGTAGGCACTGGAAATGCAGTTGAGGAGACAAAGTTCTTGCCCTCAAGGGGCTTATTATCTAATAGGGAAGACTAATAAATTTAGAAAGGTTGCCTGTATAAGCAGGCTGGAATTTTAAACCAATTGCATGTATTATTTTGATAAAAATAAAAATTAAGTTCAAATAGTGATGTAACTATATTGGGAGGTGAGGGCAGCAACGTGACCCAAGTTCTCTGTCACTGCAGAAAACAGGACAAGGTTTCTAAAGTTAATAAACCAAAAAATGGAAGTAAAGGCATAATACTGAGCAATGTAAAGATAACTATCAGAAGAATTTAAAGCAGAGGCCACTAGAAGAGTGAAAAGTCATTTCTTCTAGAGAAAAATGACAGGGTGGGAAGATGCAGGGCAGAATTTGAGGTGGACTCTTGCCTTCTTTTTAAAATAATTATTTCTGTATATTTGAATTTTTAAAATCATAGGCATGTGTTATTTTGATGAGTAAAAAGTATTCTGGGCTGGGCGTGGTAGCTCACACCTGTAATCCTAGCACTCTAGGAGGCCGAGGTGGGAGGATCGCTTGAGCTCAGGAGTTTGAGACCAGCCTGAGCAAGAGTGAGACCCCTGTTTCTACTAAAAATAGCAAAAAAATTAGCCAGGTTTGAGGTGGCTATGAGAAAGGCTGATGCCACGGCACTCTAGCCCAGGCAAGGGTACATGGTGAGGGGAGGTGTCTAGGGGGCTTCTGCAGGGAGCAATGGGGAAGGGGAAAGGGGAGGGGGGAGGGAAAGGGGAGGAGGAGGGAGGAAGGAAAAGAGGAAAGGAAGAAAGAAAGCTGGATGTGGAACAAAGATGTGTAAGCTGGTATTTTATATGGGACACACTTTCTTTTGTTTGTTTTATATACCTGACTTCCACCTGAGATTTGTTTCAACAAAGGGTTCTGCAGCTGAAATTGGTTTGAACTCCATTCTCCCTTCTGGCTCTCATAATTAATGATGTGTTATAAACACCTGTTACCCTTTGTGCTTATACCTATTTACTTATACCTATATGCCTTTACTCCTGAAGTCATTTCCCTAATTTAGCAGGAAGCCTTGCAGTCTTGCTGCAGTTGGCCATGGTTTGAAGGGATTGGAGACTTTGTTGCCAGTTTGCCTGGTGTGGAAGAGAGACCCTGCGGTCAGTCACTGATGACTGCTACTTCAGAGTGCCTCTGGAGCCACGGCTAGGACAGGGGTCCCTCGGGCATTCTGTCTGGCCTCCAGCACAGCGGCTGTTGTAACAACAGGTAAACATTTTGGCCAATAGTCCCCTGATGTCATCTCAGTATCTGCAGTCTCTCCTGGGGTAGCTGGGAATCTATTTATAGAACCTTGCCTCCCACTCCACTTCCTGGAGAGAGAGAGAGAGAGAGAGAGAGAGAGAGAGAGAGAGAGAGAGAGAGAGAGAGAGAGAGAGACTATGAATGAAGTTAAGAGAGGGGGGCAACCCTCCTTTGGTTTAGTCACCTTCTAGTGACTGCACTTGCAGACATGTGTCATGGTCTGCCTGCTCTGGTACTATGTTTAGGGCAAGTCCCCTCCATGCATTCATGTTTCTGGAGCCTCTGCAGTTGTCCCTGTTTCTGCCTGGCAGCTGCTTTCTTGAGTTTGAGGCTGCAGAGGTTCTGTGTTTCCAGGAACCTTCATGCCTCCTTGCCTGTGCACGCCATGTCCCTTTATCCAGTCTGGGGGTGTGACACTAATCCTTGAAGGCCGAGCTCAAATACCATGTCATTTGAAAACTTTTCTAGGTCCCTGAGTCCAAAGAATCCGTCACCACTTTAGCACTTATCACAGACTCTGGTCATTTCTTGATTACATATTGGCATCCCTGGAGGGTTGAAAACATCCCGTGGGCATCGTTCTGAGGCGCACGGTGGGTGTTCAGTAACTGCTCGCCGAGTGAAATGAAACATGTTTGCTACTATCTGGTCTGTGTTTTAGGAAATCCTGCTGGGCCTGGAAGAAATGTCAGTGTGGGAAGATCTCCAGCAAGGCATCTCCATAACTCTTTTCCTGTCTTCCTCTTGAAAGACCAGATTTGAAAGAGTCAGGTAACATCTAGAGGAAGCCGCCTGTATTTGGGTGGATCCTATCTGGGGAGGGATCGTTGCCACCATTTTTCAGAGCAGAGCACTGAAGCTCAGAGAGATTGAGACTTGCTAATGATCACATAGTAAATAGCAGAGCCAGAGGCGGGAACCCATGCCATCTGACTCCAGAGATGCCGTTTCCTACCACACACTTCCTCGCAGTCTCCGCAACGTGCTGTGAGATGACACCATTTAAGACCTTCCAGACCACAGTTTCCCCCTGGAGCTTTCAGGCAGTTGTTTTCTGTCCAGACCCGAGTGCTGAGAATCCTGTCTCCCCTGCTTTTTCCGTTTCCCTGAGGGTTACTAGCTCTCTCCCAGGCTCCTCTGCAGCCTGCAGAAGTTCACTCTTCTCTCATCTCTTTCCAGATAGCATGGTTTCCAGATCTTTCAGTTGGTTTCTTTTTCCGGCTGTGGTCCCTTTTTGGGATGCTTTCCAACGCTGCCGCAGATTGGAGGATGATAACAGTGAATTAGTTAGTGGATCTTCTTTGATGTTGTTTTGTGGGTGAGCTCATTAATTTATGACAAAGAACATCAAAGAGCTAGGCTCTTGCATAGGACTGCGTTGTCCCAAGGCAACTGGAGAATGATGATTAGTCAGATGAAATCTCAAAGGCCTCTCTGCCTCAAATATAGGAGTTAAAGTCCGGTGACTGAAGTGTGGGGTTGTCCCATCCCACAGCACCCGACACAGCCTTGAGTCAGCACAGCGTGAGACTGTCCCATTGTGAATGTGGACCTCTTTCCACAGCTTCCACTTCGATGCCTTGGGGTCTGTTGAGATTGTTTTAATGACCCTGGAGGCAATGTAGGGACAAAGGCTGAGACTGTTAAAATCTCTTTCCCATCTGAGGAGCTTTGTCCTTGCATGGATGACCTCAGAGCCCTAGACCTGTAATGTTAGTGGGGACAACTCTCTCTGGGCTGCCCAGGAAAGTGGCAGCACCAGGCGTGGCACATGGCAACTGTCTATACGTTCGGGTTGAAAGCACCTGTTGAGTAGTCATGATGCAAAGTCTCTGGCTGGTTGAGGTGGAGTGGGGACACTCGATGTATGTTTACAGTACGAAATCTCCTAACCAGCCCACACCTGTGGCCATTTACCATGTTGCTTTCACCTCCATGGTGGAAAGTTGTCTGTGCTCCTCTCCAAAGCCATCCCCTCTGTGTTTGCCCTGGATCCCATTCCCTGCTGACCTACTAAGGGCTTGCTCTTGCAGTTAACCCTCTTTTTCCTGAACCATCAGTGCTTCCCTCTCTACTAGAGTATTCCCATCAGCGCACAGAGATCCCTAGTGTCTGCCAGCTTAAAAACCACCTCCCTTGCCTCCAGGTCTCCCCCAGACCACCACACCAGCCTTTGCCCCTTTACAGTGCAGTGCCTCTAAAGGGTTGTCTGCACTCTCCGTATCTCCTCTTTCTGTCCTCCATTTGGACTCCCCAACCCACTTCAATCAGCATCTCATCTCCACCCACTAAAATAGCCCTTATCAGAGTCATGGGTGACCTTCTTGCTGCCAAGTCCAGTGGTCATTCTTGGGTCCTTCTCTTGTTCTACCTGGGAGCAGCATTCAGCACAGTGGGCAAGGCCCTCTTCCCAGCTTTCTTTGCTTGTCTCCAGGACACCAGCTGTCTTGGGTCTCCTCCTGCTTCACTGGCCACTCACTCTCCTCCGTCTCCCTTTGACAGAGTGACAAAGTGTCCCAAATCAGGTCTTGGACAACTTTTCTAGCTATGCCCACTCCCTAGATGATATCCTCTAGGCCCATAATTTTAAATACCATCCACATAATGGTGGCTTCTGAAGTTTTCTCTCCAGCCTCTTGTCCTCCCCTAAATCCCAACTGCCCACTCCACTGCACTGCTTATAACATGTACGCCAAACTGCATACCTAAACATGAGAAGACCCCCAGCCCGTAGTCTTTCCCCCTCAGTAAATGGCAACTCCTTTCTTCTGGTGGCTCAGACCTCAACACTTGGAATCGTCTTTTTTTTTTTTTTGAGACAGAGTCTCATTCTGTTGCCCCGGCTAGAGTGCCGTGGTGTCAGCCTACCTCACAGCAACCCCAAACTCCCGGACTCAAGCGATCCTCCTGCCTCAGCCTCCCGAGTAGCCGGGACTACAGGCATGCACCACCACCGTACATCCAACCCATCAGTCGATCCAGTCAGCATTACTTTCAAATCACATCTAGAATCTGCCCACTTCTCATCACCTTCACTGCTACTACCCTGTTCTAAGTCTCCAGCAGACTTCTAAGCTGGACTACTCTAACAGCCTCCTAATTGGTATCACAGCTTCCAGCCTTGCTCCCCTCCAACACTAGCACCCAGAGTCATATTTTTAAAACTGAAATTAGATAATGTCATGCATCTACTCTAAGCCTTCTGAGGCTTGCCATCTCATTTTATGAGTAGAATCTAAGGTCCTTATCATGGTCTACAAGACCCTGTAAGACCTGATTCTTGCCACCTTTCTGGTCTCAACTTCCACCTCTCTTCCCCTTGCTCACTCCAGTCTCGCTGCCCTGGTCTCCCAGCTTGCATGCCTCAAGCGCACTCCTGCCTCGGGGCCGTGGACTCTGTCGCTCTGCCTCCTCGCACTTCCTTCAGATATCTGTGTGTCTAGTTCTCTCTCTTCCTTCAGGCTTCTCCCCAATCTCATCTTATTAAAGAGCTTTCCCCTGACTGTTCATTCTAAAATAACCCCCTCTGTCAATCTCGATCTCCTTACCATGCCTCGTGTTCCTTCCTAACATAGTCACAACTTGACATATTTTATACATATTTGCTTATGTTGTAGATTGTTACCCCCATTTTATATGTAAGTTCAAGAAGTCTTTGTGTTTTTAGTCCTTGCTGTATCCTAAGCTCCTAGAATAGTGCCTAATACACAGTAGGCGTGCAACAAATATACACTGAATGAATGGATTGTTGAATGGCTTCATCCAGGTCTCTAGTCATCAGGTGAAGAGAGCAGTTTCCAGATGGTTGTCTAATTAATATGATCAAAATCAAGTGGGAAGGCTGGGTGTGGTGGCTCACGCCTGTAATCCTAGCACTCTGGGAGGCCGAGGCGGGCGGATTGCTCGAGGCCAGGAGCTCGAAACCAGCCTGAGCAAGAGCGAGACCCCGTCTCTACTATAAATAGAAAGAAATTAATTGGCCAACTAATATATATAGAAAAAAATTAGCCAGGCATGGGGGCGCATGCCTGTAGTCCCAGCTACTCAGGAGGCTGAGGCAGGAGGATCACTTGAGCCCAGGAATTTGAGGTTGCTGTGAGCTAGGCTGACGCCATGGCACTCGCTCTAGCCTGGGCAACAAAGTGAGACTGTCTCAAAAAAAAAAAAAATCAAGTGGGAGGAACTATGAGATGTACACAGATGGATATCATCAGATTATGTGTTCACTTATAACCAGTGACCACCATGGGAGTCACACATGTTTAGTTTGCTCCTTGATGCCAAATCCTATGCTGAACTATAAGGTGGAAGGTAACATGAGATGTGGTTACTGCTCTGCCAGCTCATGGTCTGCAAGGTGCTGGAGGGAGACAGTACAGTTCAGAGGATCAACCCCACCAGCTCTGGAGTTTGACTGCCTGGTTTGATTCCTGCCTCCATTTCTCACAAGCCGTGTGACCTTGGGCCACTTATTCAGTCCCCTTGTTTGTAAAGTGGGAATATAGAATCTGAGGGTATTTTGTCAAAAAAAAAAAAATAAAGTGGGAATAATAAAAAGATAACAAAAGCATTTAACTCAAAGAGTAATTGTGAGAATTCCATAAATAATACATATAAAGTGTATAGCATAGGGATTTGGCATATAGTAAGTGCTCAATAAATGTTAGCCACCATGAACAATTCTGGGGGAATTTCTGAGGGGTTATTGCTATTAATGTGTTTTAGGGACAATAAACTATCCCAGAATATTAGATGACATGGAAATTTTAAAGATGTGATGATATTGTGCTTATGGAGAACACTTCTATTTTTAGGAGATACATGGTGAAATACTCAAGGATAAAGCCTAATAATGCCTGTCACTTTCTGATAATCTAGTCAAATATATCTCTGTTTCTGTATCTATCAATAAAGCAAGTGTGGCACCAGGTTAACAATTATGGAAGCTAGGCAGATAGTATTTTGTACTATTTCTTTCAACTTTTCAGTTTGTTTAAAAATTTCAAAATAAAAGGTTTGAAGGAAAAAAGGAAGGACCCTAGGAAGAGTCTAGTGAGGTCCAACCTCCTATTTTACAGAGAGAGGGCCATGAGCTCAGAAAATGAGACATTTGCCCAAGGTCACACAGCTGGAGAAGCTGGGCCAGAACCCAGGCTCCTCTGCCTGGCTGTCCCTCAGGACAAGGTGGCAGTGAGCTGCAGAGGACCCACCCAAGGGGAATTATGCAGGTGTAAAGAGGTGCCTGTGTGGGTGTTTTCTCTTTGTTTATTAAGAAAATAGACAGGTCATTTGGTTGGAAGGAGTGATGTCAAAAATATGAAGGCAGTAGCAGGGCCAGTTCTGCCAAGCGGGGAGAGTGAGCATACTGGTTTAGCACCACCTGCTTGTGGTTTTTTGAGTGGTGGTGGCCAGGGGTGTGTGTAAACTCTGGGGTTGCAGAGGACAGAGGGACCAGTGAGTGGTGGGGAGCGGAGCCAGGAGGAGCATCAAGGAGAGACTGGCTTCAACTGCCGAGCTCCCTGAAAGAAGGGACCCCAGGAATGAAATGCGGATACGTATTTAAAGAAAGGAAATTATTTTCTGCAGTTGGCAGCCGTCTTTGTCTGGCTAATGGGGTTCAAGGAAGTGCAAAGGAGAGAGGGGAAAGGAGGACTGTCGGTGCAAGCCTGGCTGTGTGTGTGGGGAGCTCACAGAGAGGAAACGGGAGAGGAAGAGAGAAAAAAACACCGAAGAGGCAGCCTGGAGTAGAGTGGGGGAGGGGTTAGAGCCAGGCTGTTGGGGTGGTTGGAAAGGTAAAGAGGCCGCACCTGGGGGCTTGCGAATAGGTCGAGGACGGTCTGCCCCTGCGGGGTGGAGAGTCTTGCCCCCAGAAAATTCCTGCCTCTCTCTCTTTCGGGTCTGGAAGTCCCCTGGGGCCACGGTAGTGAGCGCAGAGCTCCTGGCGCTTTTACTGGGGGTAGGGTGGGGAGGGCAGGAAGGAGAGGCGGGGCCTCGGGGCGGGGCAGCAGCGGAGCCTGTGGCCCGGGCGGGGCTCCTCTCCGGCGGGCGCCGGAGTCTGGGGGCCGCCGCGTCCCCCTCCCGGCCCGCCCCCGGAGGCGCCTGGCCCCTCCTTCCCTGCCGCCCCCACCCCCGCCGCTGCCGCTGCCGCTGTCAAAGCTAAACCCGGCCGTTGCCTGCAGGAGCAGCGGCAGCGGGCGATCGGGCCGTGCGGAGCCTCGGGCGCGGCCTCGCCTCCCGGCCCGGCGCCCGCATCGGCACCGCCGCCAGCACAGCGCCCCTGGCCGGGACCTGGCCGCCGCGCTGCAGCCCACCTGCGCCCGGCCCGCCGCGGCCGCGTCAGCACCGCGGACAGCGCCCCGAGCCGCGCCTCGCCGCCGCCAGCCCGCCCGCTTCCCGAGTCAGCACCGCGGACAGCCCCCCTGGCCGGGCCCGCGGCAGCCCCGGAGCCGCCGGCGCCCCGAACATGGCCACCGAGGTAGGGGCGAGCACCCTGGCCGCGGGCAGTGCCCGACTGCCGGAACAGATCCCCCAGGGGCCGGCTGGGCGGGAGGGGAAGGCGGGGGGCGAGGGGTGGGATGAGGTGATCCCCTGGTTGAGTCGCAGGGAGGAGGTGGGGATGCAGTGGCAGGGTGGAAGAGAGGGGCTCTTGGTGCGGGCTCATCTCACCCCTTGTCCGTCAAGCTTCCCCGTGTCCCACCTGAGCCCCCAAGCTGCCCACACCACTTGTTGGCACTAGCGCCAGGGTTGCACCAGAGCCCCGGGCTGGGGCTTCCGCTTCCCCTGGACCACACAAGTCCTGAAGCCGCTTTCCTAGAGGATTGGAGGCGCGTGTACGCGCGTGTGTAAGGGGAGGGGAGGCGGCTGTCTGCTGTTGCTATGCAGGCATCCAGCTTCTGAACCCAAAAGCTGGGCTAAGGGATGACAGACTTACCTCTACATGCACATTTTCTTGGGGGAGGGAGGTGACAACGACATCCTCAGGCAGAGAACCCAAGCCATTGCTTTTTATGAGCTGCCCGCACCAGTCCCCACTTTTGCATATCACTCCTTCTTCCCTTTTCAGCCCGTTCTAGTTTCCTGTCTCAGGATGTCCAAATTTCCCTTGTGTCTGATGGGAGGCGCTGCTTTCTTCAGGGTGTGCCTATAGGTGTGTCATCTTCAAGGACCTGAACACTGAACCAAGGGACTTGTTAGCTCACGGGGACTCTTGAGATCAGGGATTACCTCCTTTACCCCCAGGGATTTCCCCTCCCCCCTCATTCTGTGAGGGGGATGGAAGCCCTTCGTGTTCTCTCTCTATACCTGATACAGCCAACATGGGGGGGGGGCATGTGATACTCACACAGCATGTCAGCAGCAGAGCTGAAAGTTCCCTCCTTTGTATACTATATCTGGAGTGGAACCGGGGACAACAGGGTCTGCCCAGTTCTGATGCTGACTTCCTTTGTGGTGTCTCCCTGTTTCCAATTCAGCTGGAACACAACCAGGGGGAGAGCAGAGGCCTTTGAATAATTCTATTCAGTGCCTCCGGGCATCCTGGTGAGCAGTGTGACACCAATGCCAAGTGTTATTGTTGTTATTCTGCTGAAGTCTCCGCCATGGAGCGAGGTTGCTTGGCCTTGTTCAGCTTTCTGACAAGGCAGAGGTTCGCTAGGAGGAGGGCTTGCCCCCTAGGACCCTGTGTGGGGGCAAGCCCTTGGCAGACCCCTGGAGCTTGGTTTCTAGGTGGAGGAATGCAGAGGACTCAGAAAGTGCCAAAGATACGGAGCAGAGCAGAAAGAACAAAGGAAGAAATGGCCAAGGAGCTGGTTCCCTTCCAGGCAGGGCTGCCAGACTGCAGCAGATGCTGCTGGTGTTGGGCAGAAAGGGGGGACTTCAGCTGCTTGAGCTCCGCTGGGCCAGCAGTGTGGGCAGAAGGCAGCTGCCTCTGGGATGGGATCTGACAGATTCCAACAGGCCCGTCTGTCCCAGTATATCTCCCTCTCAGGTCTACTTTCGTTCCCAGATTCCAGCCTGCAGCCTCACCTCCCTAGACGGAGGCAGTGTTTCCAGGAGGCTGCTGTTAGGCACACCTGACTCTTCCCCCGGGAGAGGCTCTGCTCATAACACCTCTGTGTACAAAGCACTATCACACGTGTGATCTCCTTTGAGCCTTAGAACAACCCTGTGAAGTTGCCAAGGATGGTGTCATTATCTCCAATTAACAGATGAGACAACTGAGGCTCAGAGGCTTACCTCGTCCCTGTGAAGGAGCCAAGGAAGCATCATTATCCCATTTTACAGATGATGCAACTGGAGTGTGTTATTCACAAAAATATGGCTAAAAGGTGGCAGGGCCAGGATAAGAACTTGAGTCTTTTGCCTCTGTGGCTAGTGTTTTTTTCATTCTGCATGCATGGTTAGTGTATCCAATTGGCCAATGGCATTGCCTAACAGAGAGGAGGGTGCTCAGGGTCTTGACACGAGGCTCTGATGGGGAGAGCAAAGGAAGTCATGAGAGCTGGAGTGTGGGGATCAGGCCCTCTGACTGGCCTGGCTGGGTCAGTTTGAGGGGAGAGGGCCAGGAATGTCCAAAGGAGATGGGGAAGTTAGGACAAACATTTGCCACATCACAGTTTGGCCTTGGGTGGACTCAGGTGGCAGTACTGAGAGAGGAAGCCTCAGCTCTGCCAAGGCACAGGATGTGCACATTATCTGGGCTGTGGGGTGAGTTGTTCTCCCCAGGCTGTGTGGACTATTAGGATTGGGTTGTGATTACTAGGATAAACCTGTCGGGAGAAAGAAAACCTCACTTAGGTTCCCACACCCATTCCCTTAGGATTCTGGACAGAAAGTCCTCCCCGCCCGCAGGTGTATGAGAGGAGAGAAGGGGGAGGGGGGACAGAGAGAGAGAGATAGAGAGATATCTCTGAATGGAAACTTTATCTTTTCTGCTCCCTAATTTCTGTTTAGGATTTAGCATCAGGGGAGGGGTGTGTGCGAGGAGCTCAGAGGAGGGATGAAGCCTCCTGAGCGATACACTGACCTCATTAGGGAAGCTGTAATGAGCCCATTCCTGAGCAGCAAACCTCTGCGAATGTGTGTCACCGAGAGCAGGGTCTGCCCCAGGACACGGTCCAGATGGCCAAGGACAATGGGGAAGTGTCTGGCTGGGAGGGGCTCCTCCAAGTGGTGGAGTTTGGTCTCTCAGAGACGTTTCAATGCACCCAAGTAGCCTCATCTGAGCAGGGCATTTGGAGGTTTGATCTTCAAGGCATGGAGGTAACAACCAGCCCACAATGGGTCGGGCTTGGGTGCTGCTGTTGGCTGAGCAGGACGGTCTTGTGCCCGGTTTTCATCCTTAGGTGCAACCTGGCTGCCTGTGACACACGCACCCCTCCTCCACACCCTAGCCAGGGCGCAGAGTGCTGACACATAAGCGGATCCCCTGATTCCTGCGTAGAGCCTTACATGCATCCTATAGAATGACAGGGATTTTTAAAAAATTAATTTTTTCTCACACGCCACTTGATTTCATAGAATGGGATGGCTTTTAAAGAGGATGGAGATGTGGGCCAGGTGGGACCTCTTGCTGGCCTTGGGCAGACTGGGCCTGGGAGCTCCTTCACACTCCACTGTGTGTTCCTCCCCAGCCCAGCCAGGTGACTGTCAGGTGGACAGGCCCTAAATGTGTGACCTGTGGTACCCAGCCTCCCCTTCCTTGTCATTCTGCAGTTTGAAAATTGGAGCCCAAGGGTCTCACCACCATTTTTCCTCCTCATGAAATGCCTCTTGGTCCTGTCCTTACTCAGCTGCCCGCAGGCCAGGGGCTGGGGATGGGAGAGGGGCAGGATTGGGGAAGGTGAGAGTGGGGAGAAGCTCAGGTCTTCGGGTCTGTTAGGAAACCCCGGGGGAGCCGCCCAGGGGAGGCACAGGAGCTGCAGCCACGGAGAGAGGTGTGCGCAGACTTCGGGATCCTCCCAGAGGATTTCCGAGCATCATGGGTGTCCGCTGAGAATCCTCACCAGCTTCCTGAAAGCTGAGTAGCCAGCAAGTGACCTGGAGCCCGGCTTCTGGCTCTTGCCCAAGGGCCCTGGCTGTGGGATTCTTTATTCAGAGATCCCAAACTAGCGCTCTAGGGATGAGGCTGGTCCCCAGGTGTGCCTGTTTTGGTCTTCTTAGTGCTTATACAGTTTTTAAACGTATTGGGAACATTTTAAAATGAGGATATTTGATGTTAAGAAAATTTGGTTTGTTGCTTCTCTTGAAAAATCAGAAGTGCTGGCACCTGGGCGCACATTCTCAAATGGCAGTGATCAGCTGCTGCCTTGAGACAGGGCACGTTCTCTAATCAGCCTCAGGCCCCACCTGGCCCACTTGGTCCTTCGCCCCTGTAAACATGTTCATCATCCCTGATAAAGCCTCTAGAATGTCAGAGCTGAAAAGGGCTCGAGTGATTACATAGTTCCAACTTCTTAGTTTCCAGTTGAATAAATGGAGGCCCCGAGAAGGGAAGACTTTCCCAGGGTCCTGTGGCCCAGGGTCAGGTCCCCTGGGTCCAGGTCAGTGGCCATCTTTCCAGCTGGGCTTCTTGGTACTTCACACCTGAGTCCCCACGGATGGAGACAGCAGGAGACCCTGGCTTGCCCTGAATCTTGCTGCTGAGTCTGTAATGTGTGTCCTCTATGTAGGTCTGGGAGACTAAGGCTCTGTCATATAAAATGTGTCTGACACCACCCTCGGGCAACTCAAGACCCCCACAAACACTCTCCAGGGAGAGCAGTGGATCTCTAGACACCCAGAATCTGAATCGTATTATAAGGGTGCAAATATTGTTGAGGTTAGAAAGGGTGTTGGCCCTTCCCATTCTGACCATTTTAGAATCCATGCATGAAAGCCAAGAGGACAGGGAACTCTATTGTGTAAGGTAGCATCCTAAAATCTTAATGGATTGATACCGTAGTACTGTTTCCTGCTCAGTGAAGTCCCAGACAGGTGTTCCTGGTCAGTAGGTGAGTCTCCTCCTGGCAGTGATTCAGGGATCCAGGCTCTTTCCAACTTGTGGTGCCTCCGTCTTCAACACACGGCTCTGCTGGCCTCCATGGAAGCGCAAAGAGCAGGGAGCAGTGGCACATTTTTATGAGTCAAGCCTAGACCTGGCCTTGATCACTTCCACTCACATTCTGCTTGTTCAGATGGCCACACCTCACTGCCAAGGAGGCTGGGAATTAGTCCAGCTGTGTGCCTAAGAGGAAGAAGAAATGGGTCTGGTAACAGCCAGCTGGTCACTAGAGACA